TCTCTAATTCTTAAAATATTTCTAAAAGAATTTTTCCATTTTTGGATGATTAAACTGGAAACGGGGGAGTCAGCTCTTCCAAAGTAACAAAGTAATTAAATAGTTGAGCTGAGATCAAAAACAAGTCTGTCTTGTTCCAAAACTCACGGAGCTTCTTTCTCATTAATCTGATTCTACAACATAGAGAGGAAATGTAAGCTTGAAACTATGAACCTGTGGTCAGTCACCTTTGACCTATCTCTTACTATTCCCTCTCTTTCCACCCTCCCTGGCACGTACATGTCTGTGCGCACATGTACACCTGCACGTACCATCCCTTTCTGAAAGATCATGTGTTCCTCATAGTCAGGCCCAGGCCAAGGCAGCTGGTGTTAAGTGAGCAAGTAGGTCCTCTAGGTCCTCTCTGTCTGTGATGGGAGAGTTCCTCCATGTTCATCCAGGATTATGGGCATAGAGGGATGTTTTAAAATACAATTTGCTAAAATGGTGACTTACAGTTATCTTTTCTTAAATGTGTTCCTTCTAGCTTGGCTTCTGTTAGAAATGACTACGTGGGCTGGGCTCATTGACTCACACCTGTAATCCCAGCACTTTGGGAGGCCAAGGTGGGAGGATGGCTTGAACTCAGGAATTTGAGACCAGCCTGGGCAACAATAAAATGAGACCTTGTCTCTACTAAAAAATTTAAAAAGTTAGCCAGGCATGGTGGCACACATCGGTAGTCTCAGCTACTTGAGAGGCTGAGGTGGGAGTGTCACTCAATCCCAGAAGAGTTGAGGCTGCAGTGAGCTGTGTTCATGCCACCACACTTCAGCCTGTGCATCAGAGTGAGATTCTATCTCAAAAAAATAAAAAACAAACCAAGTAAATAATTAATTTAAAAATGACTACACAAAGGGTCCAGGATTTACTCTGTGGGTTAAGACAGTATTTGTCTTTTTTGGTTGTCTACAGAAGACATTCTTTGTGTTCCATATTGTCTTTTATATAGAAATCCTCTTAGAAACCAAGAAAAAGGTTTTAATAGAAAAATAAATACAAATTTTAAAATATTACATTTGAAACCAAAAGACATATAAACTCTAGGGACTAAAAAGAATAGCTAACATTTGCTAAATGCTAATACGGTAGCATTTATTACTGCATCTCCAGTTTGAAGATGAGGAAACAAAGGTATAGGGAAGTTAAATAATTCCCCGAGGTAGCCACTAGTAGGGAATAGGGCTGAGACCACGGCAGTGTTCTAGTCAACCACCACCTTTGTTGGGAAAGACCTTCTAGGCTGCTACCACTCCAGGTGATCTCCATGTCTACATCTGCTGTGTGCCGGCTGCATTTGGAATTGTCCATAAATTACTTTGTATGTTTAGTTTTTCCTTCAGTTTTTAAATTGGGTATAAGGATGCAGGAATTTGAATGGACTTAAATTTTTTTATACTACTGTAGCAGCTAACATAGCATGTGAGTAGTTGGCATGCAGTATATTCTTAGATATTAGCTAGTTCTCACGGACGACACAACAGCTTAAGCCAAAGGGTCCTAATATTTGTTATGGATTGATGCTGAGAATTTCGAAGTACTACCTGAGCTACTATTAAGTCTCACCAGTCTTACTGATGTTAAATTCTTCACTGAGGAAATTCATTTGGATTTCATGATTTTTAACTTAAGCATCATTGTGCCACATTGTTCAAAGCTAACCAAATGTACGTTTTTATGCCATTCTTTCTGGGAAAGAAAATAAAATATGCCTATCTAAACTTTCTAAAACAAATTATCAGGTTTGCTGTTTTCATTTTATCTTCCATTTATTCTTTAAGGCACATTCTTACCAAGGTCCCATGGATTTCTTATCTCTGTACAATTTCTCTTTTTCAAATGCAAAACACTTTTCAGTCTCTTCTCACCTGAAGACAGCATGAATATTGTTGATGTTTCCGAGGTTCCAACCTGGACCTTCTCTTCTTCCTTTCACATACTTTCCATAATCTTCTCCAGCCCTCATGGCTTCACATCCTGTTTCTCATGATTTCTGAAGTTTTATTTGCATCCCACATCACTCCTAGAACTCCAGACCTGCAGAGCCACTGCATGTTGACCAGTTTTTCCCTGGGTATCCCATAGGCACCACAACATTCACACATCCAAACCAGCTTGAGTATCAGCAACTCCTGCCCAAATGTATTTCCTGATACTGAATTTGGTCCTCAAGTGTTACTGCATCCTTTTCCTCATTTCTTTGCAGTCTACCTCTCTGTTCCCACTACCACTCAGATCCTCTCTATCTCTTGCTCTGAATATGGAAGAGCCTTCCAGCTAGCTGCTCTCCCCCTGCCAGCATGGTTTCCTCCCTCTCTGTATCACCATTCCAGTGTTGTTCAAATGGTCATTTTCCATTACCGTCAGAGGTTGTTAGCTCCTGTGTGAAGCTGCCAGTGGCTGTCTCCTGCCTCAGAATCTTGGTCGTCTTCTTTCTTCTCCCTAGATTGTCCTTCCCTCTTCTCTCTGTCTAATCCACAGTTAGCATCAAACTTCAGGTTGCAGATTCTGGGAAGCAAACCTTTTCTTTATTTATTTTGAGACAGTCTCACACTGTTGCCCAGGCTGGAGTGCAGTGGCGTGATCTTGGCTCATTGCAACCACTGCCTCCCAGCGTCTCAAGTTTTTCTCCTGCCTCAGCCCCCCTAGTAGCTGGGATTGCAGGCATGCACCACCACACCAAGCTAATTTTTGTGTTTTTTAATAGAGATGCAGTTTCGCTATGTTAGCCAGCCTGCTTTCAAACTCCTGGCCTCAAGTGATCTGCCTGCTTCAGCCTCCAGAGTGCTGGGATTACACCTGCCCAGCCAGAAACAGACCTTTTCTGACACTTAACTCTTCTCTTTCCTTATGCCCCTCCTGGCTTTGTTGCCCTTCTTATGTGTTCTCCTTGGAGCCCAAGCAGTACCTCCATGGCAGCATTCCTACCACAGTGTTTTATAACTATCTGGGTTTGGCCTCTCCCATCCTTACAAGCAGCATGAATCCTCTTCATGGTTGCATGTGAGTCCCCAGCCCAAGCCACCTGTGGCTGGTTATTTGTTGACTTCTTTCTAGGATGGTGGCTCTCATCTGGGGGTGATTTTGTCCCCAGAGGACATTTGGCAACTCCTGGAGACCTTTTTTATTGTCCTGACTGGTGAGGTGGTGCTCCTGTCATCTAGTGGGTAGAGGCCAGGGGTGCCGAGAGGCACCCCGTTGTGCACAGGATGGCCCAGCTCATGGTCCAGCCCCAATGGCAAGAGTGCCAAGATTAAGAGACAATGCTCTAGGACAAAGGGCAAAACTTTAGGGCACTAAAGACTTCTCATAACAGAAAAAATGAAATTATTTAAATATGGAGTTCTTAAGTAATATGTAAAGGTTTTAGTGTCAGAGAGCTTCGTTCTGAATCTGAACTGTTCTGGATCTTTTGGTGACCCATTTTTAATGTTTATTCAGAAGCTCTCGTGTGAGGCAGACCTATGTCTCAGTGGTTACTAGTGTATTAACAGGTACCTGGAGTGAGTTAGGCACAAAACTGAAATGGTGAGGACAGTAGAACTAAGCTCTGCATTTATTTTAGAAATTTAGGCATTTACTTTTTCTTATTTTCAGTGCATCCTATAGAATGTGACTACCCACGCAGTTTTTTGATGATGTGTGGAGATGGGTGGTTCTTTTTTTTTGACTCAGAAAGAATTTGGCTGGGTGTGGCGGTTCACGCCTGTTAACACTTTGGGAGGCTGAGGTGGGTGGTGCACTTGAGGTCAGGAGTTTGAGACCAGCCCTGGCTAACATGGTAAAACCCCATCCCTACTAAATATACAAAAATTAGCTGGGCATGGTGGCGGGTGCCTGTAATCCCAGCTACTTGGGAGGCTGAGGCAGGAGAATCACTTGAACTGGAGAAGCAGAGGTAGCAGTCAGCTGAGATCACACCACTGCACTACAGCCTGGGTGACAGAGTGAGACTTGGATCTCAAAAAAAAAAAAAAATGTAATCCTCAGAAAAAAAGGCCTTTCACTTTATGTAGATTAGTTAATGAAGTAAACTCTGGTACCACCCCCAGTATTTAGGTAGTAAATTAGATGGGACTGCTAGTGCATCCTAACTGGAAGTTAGGAAATTGAAGGATGAATTGTTGCTAACACAGAATAACATGGGATTGATCTATATAATCAAGTATAGGAAAATAAGATCTTGTGCTTTAAAGTTTTAGCATGTGTTTTGGTAAAGACGGAAAACGTCAAAAAAGTTTTGATTCTTTCCTCCAGAATTGGCCATATGATAATGTTTTTTTTTCTTTTTTGTAGGCCATATGATATGAATTCTTGTTTGATAATCCAGTTTTCAAAAAATTATTTTGGAAGTTTAGAAATCTCAGTCGGAGAAAGAAGAAACACTTTAGGAAATGTTAGGAAAAGGAGACAGTGACTCATATTCTTGAATGGTTCCTGTTGATATTTGCAACTTCAAACTAGTCTCTGGAAAATATTATATAATTTTACTGTGAGAGAGTCAAGTCTTTATCTTTATTCTTGGGGATTCCTTTGGCAAATTAAATGATTTACACCTGAAGAGGCAATTTAACTTCATAGTAAATTTCAAAGTCCAAGAAATACTTTCTAGTAGTTGTCAGATTCGTAGTGAGGATCATCAGCCTTTCAGATGAGTGTTATTAGTTCAGTTTTGGAGATTGTACTGTCTTGTAGTTTGCTGAAAGAAGATTGAAATATTTGTACTTATTTTTGTGGGTTCTATGATATAAAGTCTGACTCATGTTGATTTAACCTCTTCTTGTCTTTGTCTTGGTTACTTTGGGATTTTGTCAGAACAGGGGTTTAAGCTGCAGATACTGTATTCAAAAAGCTCCTTCAAGAAATGTAACTGTAAGGGAATGGAATGATGTAAATAAATGTGGACTTAAATAAAATACTCTTTGTATTTAAAAATATGCCTTTCTCTTAATTTTTTTCAGCTAAGTTCTATAGAAATTTTAGAATATTCATCAGATAGTGAAAAAGAAGATGACTTGGAAAATGTCCCACGCATTGATTCAGAATCCCCTCACAAATACCACATGGAGTTGGCATCGGATGCAAGACAGATTATGGAGGGACTGATAGACCCAAGGACAAAATCAAGAGAGACCATCTTGCATACACCCCAGAAACCCACAACTAAGTTTCCCAGGACTCCAGAAAATTCAGCAAAGAAGAAGCTTTTAAGGTTAAATTATACCTTTTTAAATACTCTTTTTTTCTTCTCTTTCTTTAAAAACTGAAATATCTAAAATGTTAATTTTAATATACTTGCATATGAAATCCTAAGTTCTGGAGCTGATTAATGGAACGTTCATCCAATTTGAGGGTCATGGGTTCAGTCGTGGCCAGCAGATGTGACTGCATTTTTTAATGGAGATTTATTGTTTGGCTAAACAAATTTTATTGAGAGTCAGTGTTCTAGGTACCTTGGAGACAAGTGAATTCACTTGAATACAAGTGAGTAATTGTTCTAATCTTGAGTAATTTATAATGTAAAAGGGAAAACAGAAATATGTATAGATCATGTCAGACTACTTTTATGAGAGAGATCTGCCAGGACAACACTTGCAAGTGCAAAAAAGTGTGAGAGAGCAGAGACCCACAGACAAGATGTGTCTGGTGTGCCATGAACTAGAGTGTCATTCAGGGGCTGGGCTGTGGCCATGGGCAGCAAATCAGGAAAGATACGTGAAGGAGCCTGTAGGTAGGGACCCTCCCCATCCATGTGTGATACAAGGTCTCTTTGTTGTTTAAATCAAAATCATTGGCAACAAAAGCCAAAATGGACAAATAGGATCTAATTAAACGCCAGAGTTTCTGTCCAGCAAAAGAAACAATCATTAGAGTGAACTGGCAACCAACAGAATGGGAAAAAGTTTTTGCAATCTACCCATCTGACAAAGGGCTAATAGCCAGAATCCACAAAGAACTAAAACAGATTTATAAGAAAAAAAAACAAACCCATTCCAAAGTGGGTGAAGGATATGAACAGACACTTTTCAAAAGAAGACATATATGAGGCCAAGAAACATGAAAAGATGCTCATCATCACTGGTCGTTAGAGAAATGCAAATCGAAACCACATTGAGATACCATCTCACGCCAGTTAGAATGTCAGTCGTTAAAAAATCTGGAGACAACAGATGCTGGAGAGGATGTGGAGAAATAGGAACACTTTTACATTGTTGGTGGGAGTGTAAATTAGTTCAACCATTGTGGAAGACAGTGTGGTGATTCCTCAAGCACCTAGAAATAGAAATACCATTTTACCCAGCAATCCCATTACTGGGTATATATCCAAAGGATTATAAATTGTTCTATTGTAAAGACACATGCACACATATGTTCATTGCAGTGCTATTTACTATAGCAAAGACTTGGAACCAACCCAAATGCCCATTGTTGATAGACTGGACAAGGAAATTGTGGCACATATACACCATGGAATACTATGCAGACATAAAAAATGATGAGTTTGTGTCCTTTGTAGGGACATGGCATGAATCTGGAAACCATCATTCTCAGCAAACTGACACAAGAACAGAAAATCAAACAGCATGTTCTCACTCATAGGCAGGTGTTGAACAGTGAGAACATAGGACACAGGGAGGGGAGCATCATACACTGGGGTCTGTTGGTGGGGACTAGGGGAGGCACAGTGGGGGGTAGGGGGGTTGGGGAAGGATAGAAAATATGGGGAGAAATGCCAGATATAGGTGACAGAGGGATGGAGGCAGCAAACCACATTGTCATGTATGTACCTATGCAACAATCCTGTATGATCTGCACATGTACCTGAGAACCTAAAGTACAATAAAAAATATATACATATAAAAAAACCCAAACAATGTCAAGCAAAGACCCAGTGAAAATAAGAAAGAGAACCTGTAGGAAGCATTGCCACAAATGCAAAGTAGTAAAGCATTTCAAGGCAAAGGAGTTTCAGTAGAAAGAGTAAATGTGATAATCAAGAGTGTAGATGTTGGATCCACGGATTATATTGTCACATCATGAGAAGACAAGCCTGGCATGCATCTAAGGAGACCAGGGCCTGTGGCTGAAGTAGCACATGGTTCAGGGAGTGAGGATGGGGTTGTGGCTCCTGTGTGGGAGTTGGGGACCAGGCAGGAGCTCTTTGATTCTTCTCTTTGGGATTGCCAATCACATGGAAAATGTCGAGCCTCTAGAAATAGTGCAGGGAATAGGAGAGACAGATTTTGAAAACAGCAGGGGTCCCAGTAGACAGAGAGCTTGCACCATGGTTCTGTCAGCAACCTGCAGAGGAGGTAGGGAAGGAAGGTGGAGAGGGGAGCCCCAGCTTGAGGACACCAGTGGAGGAAAGAGCATGAGGATATGGCCAAGTCCAGCGAGATGGCCAGGTCACAGAGATCCATTCGTGCCTACTCATTGTAAGGCAGAAGGCTTTATGTCCAAAGTGACAAAGTTGTGGCCTCAAAAGAGAATGTAATTTGTAATAGTAATAGGATGTAATTTGTAATAGAATGTGATTTGTAATAGTCTCTGGGGAGAAAGGAAAAGGAAGCCCATTAAAGGGATTACCATGTCTTTGTTGATGAAGGTGATGCCACGCAATTACAGGAAGTCATGTCCCCAGCCTTGCTGAGGGCCTGCCACTTGCCAAGCACTGTTCATGCACAGGAACAAGCAAAGTGGAATCGTTGCTCATAATAGAGAGCAAAGGTTAATGGAGCCCCGCCTGTGTCAAGGGAAGGCTAAAAAGGAGCTTCGAAGTCAGCTCCTTTAGATGTCAAGTCAGAGGAGAGAAACTTTATGGAGAAAAAGCAGACTAGAAATGTTGTAATATTTTTGAATCTTTATTCTTTACTTCTTCATGTTGATTTTATAGAACTGTTTACCAGTGTTGAATTGATACCAGTAATCTTTGGAGATAGGTTACGAATCTGTTAATTTTACAGAAAAGATAATTAGGATATCTTAACTTGCTCAGTGAATTCATCATATTTTTGTTCCATTGGAGTTTTGGCTTTTATTATTAACTTGTCTGGCTACATTCAAAAGAGTTAATTTGGATATAGATGTCAGGGCCTTCCTGAACTTTTGGTATGACTTGATTTTTTTAATGTTGGATAGGTTTTTACTAGAAATAGGATTGTTGATTAGAGGACATGATGTTTCTGTTCTTAAGTTCAAGTGCATGTGGTCTGAATTCCCTGCAGGACAAACCCTAATGGCCAAACTCAGCTGGAGACACAGTTTGTTTTTTTTTCCTCCTCCTCCTCTCTGTTTTTTTTAATTTTCTTATTATTATACTTTAAGTTCTGGGGTACATGTGCAGATCTTGTACGATTGTTACATAGATATATACATGTCATGGTGGTTTGCTGCCTCCATCCCCCCATCACCTACATTAGGTATTTCTCCTAATGTTATCTCTTTGCAATCCCTCCACCCCCTGCTATCCATCCCCTAGCCCCCCACCCTCCAACAGACCCCAGTCTGTGATGTTCCCCTCCCTGTTTCTGTATGTTCTCATTGTTCAGAACTCACTTATGAGTAAGAACATGTGGTGTTTGGTTTTCTGTTCTTATGTCAGTTTGCTAAGAACGATGCTTTCCAGATTCATGCATGTCCCTGCAAAAGACATGAACTCATCCTTTTTTATGGCTGCATAGTATTCCATGGTGTATATGTGCCACATTTTCCTTGTCCAGTTTATCATTGATGGGCATTTTGGTTGGTTCCAGGTCTTTGCTATTGTAAACAGTGCCACAATGAACATACATGTACATATGTCTTTATAATAAAACGATTTATAATCCTTTGGGTATATACCCAGTAATGGGATTGCTGGGTCAAATGGTATTTCTGTTTCTAGATCCTTGAGGAATCACCTCACTGTCTTCCACAATGGCTGAACTAATTTACACTCCTACCAACAGTGTAAAAGTGTTCCTATTCCTCCACATCCTCTCCAGCATCTGTTGTCTCCAGATTTTTTAGTGATCGCCATTCTAACTAGCATGAGATGGTATCTCAGTGTGATTTGATTTGCATTTCCCTAATGACTAGTGATGATGAGTCTTTTTTCTTAATGTTTGTTGGCCGCATAAATGTCTTCTTTTGAAAAGTGTCTGTTCATATTCTTTGCCCACTTTTGAATGGGCTTGTTTGTTTTTTTCTTGTAAATCTGCTTTAGTTCTTTGTACGTTCTCAATATTAGCCTTTTTGTCAGATGGGTAGATTGCAAACATTTTTTCCCATTCTGTTGGGTGCCAGTTCGCTGTAATGGTTGTTCTTTTGCTGTGCAGAAGCTCTTAAGTTTAATTAGATCCCATTTGTCTATTTTGGCTTTTGTTGCCATTGCTTTTGGTGTTTTAGTCATGAAGTCCTTGCCTCTGCCTATGTCCTGAATGGTTTTGCCTAGGTTTTCTTCGAGGGTTTTTATGTTGTTGGGTCTTATGTTTAAATCTTTAATCCATCTGGAGTTAATTTTAGTGTAAGGTGTAAGGAAGGGGTCCAGTTTCCGCTTTCTGCATATAGCTAGTCAGTTTTCCCAATGCCATTTATTAAACAGGAAATCTTTTCCCCATTGCTTGTTTTTGTCACATTTGTCAAAGATCAGATGATTTTATACATGTGGTGGTACTTGGAGGCCTCTGTTCTATTCCTTTGGTCTGTATCTCTGATACTGTAGCCTTGTAGTATAGTTTGAAGTCAGGTATTGTGATGCCTCCAGCTTTGTTCTTTTTACTTAGGATTGTCTTTGATGAAGACAATCACTGCCTTTGGTGAAGGGATGGTGGTTTGTCGTGATTAAAAATAACTTTTTTACCTGATAAAGGCCAGGTAGCAAGGATTGAGCTGTGTGGGCTCTTTTTTGGTTCCATATGAAGTTTAAGGTGGTTTTCTCCAGTTCTGTGAGGAAGGTCAATGGTAGCTTCTTGCGGATAGCATTGAATTTATAAATTACTTTGGGCAGTATGGCGATTTTCACGATATTGATGCTTCCTAACCATGAGCATGGAAAGTTTTTCCATCTGTTTGTGTCTGCTCTTATTTCATTGATCAGTGGTTTGTAGTTCTCCTTGAAGAGGTCTTTCACGTCTTTTGTTAGTTGTATTCCTAGGTATTTTATTCTCTTTGTAGCAATTGTGAATGGGAGTTCGCTCATGATTTGGCTCTCTGTTTGTCCGTTTTTGGTGTATATGAATGCATGTGATTTTTGCACATTCATTTTGTATGTGGAGACTTTGCTGAAGTTGCTTACCATCTTATGGAGATTTTGGGCTGAGACGTGGGGTCTTCTAAATATACAGTCATGTCATCTGCAAATAGAGACAATTTGAATTCCTCTTTTCCTAATTGAATACCCTTTATTTCTTTTTCTTGCCTGATTGCGGTGACTAAAACTTTTAATACTGTGTTTAATAGGAATGATGTGAGACGGCACCCTTGTCAAGTGCTAGTTTTCAAAGGGAATGCTTCCAGTTTTTGCCCATTCAGTATGATATTGGCTGTAGATTTGTCATAAATAGCTTTTATTATTTTGAGATATGTTCCATCAATACCTAGTTTATTGAGAATTTTTAGCATAAAGGACTTGAATTTTGTCAAAGGCCTTCTCTGCATCTATTGAGATAATCATATGGTGTCGTCTTTGGTTCCTTTTATATGGTGGACTACCTTTATAGATTTGTGTATGTTGAACCAGCCTTGCATCCCTGGGATGAAGCCTACCTGATTGTGATGGATAAGCTTTTTTTTTTTTTTTTTTTTTTTTGAGACAAAGTCTTGCTTTGTTGCCAGGCGCCAGGCTGGAGTGCAATGGCGCAACCTCAGCTCACTGCAACCTCCACCTCCTGGGTTCAAGCAATTCTCCTGCCTCAGCCTCCTGAGTAGCGGGGATTATAGGCACGCGTCACCATGCCCAGCTAATTTTTGTATTTTTAGTAGAGATGGGGTTTCACCATGTTGGCCAGAATGGTCTTGATCTCCTGATCTTGCAATCCGCCCGCCTCGGCCTCCCAAAGTGCTGGGATTACAGGAGTGAGCCACTGCACCCGGCCAAGCTTTTTAATGTGCTGTTGGATTCAGTTTGACAGTGTTTTATTGAAGATTTTTGCATCAATATTTATCATGAATATTGGCCTGAAATTTTCTTTTTTAGTTGTGTCTCTGCCAGGTTTATCAGGATGACGTTGGTCTCATAAAATGAGTTAGGGAATATTCTCTCTTTTTGTGTTGTTTGGAATAGTTTCAGAAGGAATGGTACCAGTGGAGACACAGTTTTTATCTGAGGTCTCCAGACACAGTTTTTATCTGAGGGCATCTCCACTCATGATGCCATGTGTAGAGAACTCCTTTACATATGTTTACTGTTGCTTTTACCTTTCGTCCTGTACTCCCTACAGTTTTCTTGCAGGGTTCTAGGCTTGACTTTAACCAGATACTATTTTCAGAGTTCATTTTGCCTTTTTTTTTTTTTTTTCTGTAAGGTCACAGCATTGAAAAGCAATATTGGGGAAATAATTATCTATATAACTGGACAAAGAATACAGCATTTGTTTCTTGTAATTATTATGTACATCATTTTAAATAGTACTGTTTAAGAGGTGATAGATATATTATCAAGACTAAGAGCTTGGACTCTGGAGCTGGACTGCCTGGGTGTGCATCCAGCTACGCCACCCATTAGACATCTCACTTTGGACAGATGTTTAACATCTTGGTGCCTCAGTTTGTAATCTATAAAGTGGAATCATAATAGTACCTACTTTACAGTATTGTGTAAAGGGGAAGCATAAATGAGTTACTTCATGTAAATAGAATTATATGAAGAAGGGCTTAATAGTAAGTAGAGACTGACACGTAGAGGTGCTATGGCATATTTCTGTGTATAAGAGGTTTTTAAATTTTTTCTGTTATATATGCTATAAACAAATACATTCAGAAATAATACCTGTAGGAAAAAATACTAGGTTTTTCTATAGGTATTAAATATATTTATTAAAATATTACCGTCATAGTGGAAAGAGCCATATAGGGTACAAGTAAAATACATAACAAAAACAGTTACACCAATCATGGGCATTTTTTGAAGGTTTATTAAAGGCTACATGCTGTGCTAAGTCCATTCTGGTTTTAATAGCTAGTTCCTCATCTGGCTAGTTATGTAATATTGGAGAAGTTCCTTAATCTCTCTGTAAATTCTGGTTTTGTCATCTGTCCAGTGGGTATTGATATCTGTTCTTTCTACCTCAAAATGATATTATTTGAATAAATATAGTGTAGTGAAATATTAATGAATTGATAATAATAATCTTACGAGATAATACATTGATAATCTATATAGCATGTAGCTATAGTGATAATTAGCAACTGATCTTGATTTTTCTTGAAATTATGTTAGGAGTTGATAACTTCTCTTTCTCTCTACATATGCATGTATTTATTTACTTACATTTATAATTTACATATAATTATATACTTATAAGCATATATATCTCAGTGAGTATGTATGTTCATTGATAGGTTAACGTTCTTCTGCAGTCCCTGTATGTCTGTCGTTATAAATTGTGTTTCTATTGTATGTGGAAGTTTTCTTTTTTATAACATCGGTATCCTTGCTGTGTGTTTGTGATTGATACTCAAATATCTCTAGAGTTCAAATAATGGACTCGTACCCAAGTGCTCTTATCTGAGTGTTCTGTCAGCAGTTGGCAAGGTTTTTCTTGACTGGAACTCTGAGCCCACTTTATATTTCTCCATTTGCACCCATCTGCTGAGCTCATTGGGAGCTCTCTCACCTCCACAGCAGCACTCATAGCTGTCCTTGTGTCCCTGGTACCTAACAAAGTGCTAGGTGCCAGCGTATAGCAGGTGATGAGTAAGCAGTACGTGTTTTAGGATTGAATAAAATAAGAAAGAATAGAAAAGGAGGTAAGCTGATATTTAGCTGTCATATTTCCAACAACTATGTTTAAGACATAATATTAGCCCATATTTCTAAGAATCAGAAAACCAAGCTTCTAAGAAAACAAAAACTGACTTACGAGGATATGGTCTCTAGGAAGAGAATGTGGTAACAAATATACTTTAAAATTTTGCATGTTTTATCTGTCTCTGGTTGGAGGTATACAGTATAACTGTTTGAGTGATTCTGAAGTTTTCCTTTTAACTAAACTTAATGCATTATAATTCATTAAACAGAGGTGGACTAGCAGAAAGATTAAATGGACTGCAGAATCGAGAGAGATCTTCCATTTCTTTGTGGCGACATCAATGTATTTCTTACCAAAAGACACTTTCAGGTAAGGCTTATACAGGCACCTGAGACAATGTATAAAAACAATTTTAGTTAAAAGAATTTTTTTCTTCACTTTATTAATATATTTTTTTTAAATTATACTTTTAAGTTCTGTGGTACATGTGCAGAATGTGCAGGTTTGTTACCTGGTTATACATTTGCCAGGAATTTTTCCATTAAAATATATGAAGTTGGTTATTACTATTTTCATTACTTTAAAAACAATGTTTGTTTTTCCAACATTCTAATTTTGACAGACAAAAGTGATACGTAATTAATATCTACAACTTGATGAGTTTAAAGATAAGTACACCCTTGTGAAACCATTACCACAATTTGTGCTGTAAATCTACCCTTCACCTCCAAAAGTTTTGATCTGTTCTTATCATTAAGAGCACTCTACCCTCTTAGCAAAGTTTATTTTATTTTATTTCATTATTTAGAGACAGGTTCTCACTGTGTTGCCCAGGCTGGAATGTAGTGACATAATCATAGTGTACTGTAGCCTCAAACTCTTGGGCTCAAGCAAATCCTCTCACTCCAGCCTCCCGAGTGGCTAAGACCACAGGCTTGTGACACCATGCCCAGCTCCTCTTAGCAAAATTTTAAGTATACAATATAGTATGTTAACTATAGGCAGGATACTGTTCAGCAGATCTCTAGAACTTATTTATCTTATATAATCAAAACTTTGAACCCTTTTATGAATACCTACCTCTGTGTTGGTAGCCACTGTTGCAGGTTCTGCTTCTGTAGTCAGAGCACATAGTCAAGCAAAAGAAATAAAAGATATCCAAGTTGGAAAGCAAGAGGTAAAGTTATCTCTGTTTGCAGATGACATGATCTAATATCTAGAAAACCCTATAAGACACCCTGCCCCTGCCAAAAAAGGTTAGAACTAGTAAGTGAATTCAGCATAGCCACAGGATTAAAAATCAGCATACAAAAATCAATTGCATTTCTATATATTAACAATGAAATTTCTGTTTATTAACTATGAAATATTTTCTATTGGAAAATTAAGAAAGCCATCTCATTTACAATAACATCAAAAAGAGTGAAATACTCGAATAAACTTAATCATGGATGTTAAGGACTTGTACTCTGAAAACTGATTGTTTTATTCAGGTGTCATATAGGTCTCAGAAATTATCCAGGAGATGAGTCTATTCTTCCAAGGTCTAATCACTGAAAACTCTTGTTTCTTAACAAATTGTTTGATATTGAAAAGATACCACATGTCTAGAAAAGCCTCCTCTCGTCCTAAACAGTGCTGATTTAGTGGGTTTTTTTCTGTGTGTTTCCTCCATCTGGATTGCAGGGATGGGTAGGTAGGCACAGTCACATATACCAAACCAACGATTATTAGTATTTCATGGGGGATCATTAGGATGTACATTTTAATAGGCTTCCAGGTGATTTTTGCACATGCTAGAATTTAAGAAACATTATTCTTAGAGTTGATCCCCCCATTCCCAATAATGTATTCTACTAAATAGAATAATATATTCTACTAAATAGATCACTCAACTGTTATGTTCTCAACTATTATATTACACATTTCTTTAGAAGACTTTTCAATTCTCATCTCATTTATTCTTTCTAAAATCCTTTCTGAGGCCAGTTGCAGTGGCTCATGCCTGTATTCCCCATGGCAGAAGGATCACTTGAGGCTGAGTTCAAGACCAACTTGGGCAATGTAGTGAAATTCATTCTCTACAAAAAAAAAAATTAAAACCAACTGTACAGTTGTGGCACACATCTATAGTCCTAACTACTTGAGAGGCTGAGGTGGGAGATTTGCTTTAGCCTAGGAGTTCTAGGTCACAGTGAGCTATGGTTGCACCTCTGCACGCCAGCCTTAGTGATAGAGCAAAACCCTGTCTCTAAAAAATATGTAATAAAATCCTTTCCCAGCTGTCACTTAGCAATTGTCTTCTCTCACATTTTTGTATTAAAGTACTGTAATACGAAATACATATATATGTGTCAGGATGACCTAATACATATGACCCAAGTATACTTTTCTTTTTTGAGACAGAATCTCATTCTGTTGCTGAGGCTTGAGTTTAGTGGCACGATCCTGGCTTTCTGCAGTCTCCATATCCTGGGTTCAAGCGATTCTCCTCCTCAGTCCACCAAGTAGCTGGGACTGCAGGCACCAGCCACCACACCTGGCTAATTTTTTTATTTTTAGTTGAGACAGGGTTTTACCATGTTGGCCAGGTTAGTCCCAAACTCCTGACCTCAGGTGATCTGCCCGCCTGGGCCTCCCAAAGTGTGGAGATTACAAGCGTGAGCCACTGTACCTGGTCACTTTTTCTTTTATACATATCTGTGGGTCAATTCATTGTTATACTTATGACTTTGTTTCTTGTTTTTCTTTTTTAATATCAATTATTAGGACATTAAATAATAATCTTTGCAATTCATTTGATCACCTTGAAGGCCAGGTAGACATAAAGGTTGTCTTGTCTTATTATTTAAGGAAGTCTTAATAGCACATTGGCTTAAGCACAAAAAAGAATTTAATGGTACTTGTAATTGAATGCCACAGGGAAGACTTTATGCTTCAGACATACTGGTTTTGAAAAGGCTGGCAGTCATCTTCTATGTGGTAACTCTCAGCTTCAAGTCCAATAAAAAGAATGCTTTCTTTCCAGTATTTTACCAGAAATGCCCAAAATGACTTTCATTGATCTGGTAGAGACAGGAGTCCCTGATGGAAGTCATCCTAATGACTCTGGCCAGCATGGACTACAGTCAGTAACACTCTACCAGCCATATACTTAACTCATGATTATTTTATTTCCAGAGTTATTTGATAAAAACCAGCAGGAACCATTTGTAATTCTATAGTATGTTATCTCATTTTAGTCATTCAGTGATTCTTTATGTTCTCCTATTTATAAGTATTTGCATGTGTATGTTTAACCTCTCAAGTGTGAATGACCTTGAACTGGAACTTTGTCTTACACTCTACCTATCTCCACCTCTAAATAGTTTCTGTTTAATCTGTGTGTCACTCATCACTTTGGGATTCTATGATTATATTTTGTTCTGCTTGAACCAGAAAAATATTTTTCCTTGCCACTTAAATTCTCAAATTGCTCCTCCTTCTGTCCTCCTTTTGCCTCCCTTCTTTTGAAGTAGGGACATGAGAGAATGGTAAGCTTGGATTTCTTTCAACTGGATATAAATGTTTGCATTATTCTGTTTCAGGAAGGCTGTTTTCAGTTCTTAGTTGTAACATCAGCTTTGCGTTGGGATGGGGTGGATGGCGAGCTATCGGATGGAAAAGAGGAGCCTGGCACACAGGACTCTGGCTACTGAAGGCCTTAAAGACTAGAACCTGAAGATATCATTTGCTTATTTCATTGGCATTAATGCAGCACTTTTGTTTCCTTTTTCCACATGGGGAGATAGAATGTTAATTCTGTGAGGACTCTTAGAGACCTTCCAGTTTAAGCTCCTCTTTGGCAGATTGCCTAGAGGGAGGGAAGTGACTTGCTCTGATTATCTAGCCAAGGAAGAGACAGGGCCAAAACCAGGCCTCCTGATTCCCAGTGCCATGCTTTCAAACCCTGCCACCCTTCTGCCATATGAAAATAATCATTTTACTCCTCTGCCAGTTTCCTATTGAGATTACTAGTGGGGAATAACCAGGTAGTCCAAATTGGACTCTGTGTTTAGTCAGGTAGTGTCTTGAATTTTGCTGATGTTATTATAGTCTTGAAAAATTGTAAATATCTTCCAAATAGGAGCAAAATGTGGGCAAACTTTGAACTGGATCATAAATTCTTAAGAAATAGTTTGGGTTCTGTCTGTCCTCTTTCCTTCAGTCTCATCCTCATTGTTGCATCACATTTGGAAGTTTGATATCTATGGGTACAATGCCAAAGGCTTACAATATATTAAATCATTTAGTATGTAAAGTAATCTTCTAAAAGAGTTTGCTTTCCTTACTTTCCAGATGAAAAAACTATAGGTTGAGTATATGCTACAGATAACTAAGCCCAGATTTGTACTCTGAAGTTCAAGTTCTTATTCACTAATCTCTACAGAGCTTCATTAGTTAATCTGTTTGGGCTAGAGAAAGTTAGACTTAAGAAAACAAGGGATTAAGGAATCAGCAAAATTAGAAATATTGATACGGATGTTTTTCTTTTGAAAAAAATCTTTCAAAATGTAGGTCTTTATCACATTCTTGAGACAGTACTAATTGGAGAAGCATAGGACATAGGTTTGAAGATTGCTGAGACTGTGTAAATTGTGGAACTGTATAGGATGTCCTAAAATATTATGATTTTGATGAGAAGTGGCAGATTATCTTCTTAATTACTGATATTACTATAAGTCAGAAATCACTAGACATTGTCATCCTGGTTACTCATTATAGTGAATTGATCAAATTGTCAAGTATGTAGTTGACAGAGTGTCTTCTGCATGTCTGGATAGAAAAATATCAAGTTAAACTTGTATGACTGGTGGTCCAGAATGAAGGGAGAAAAAGGTGATTTTTTTTTTGTTTGGCTCATAACCAAAACATAGCTTATTTGGAATGTTCCTTACAATATCACTTCTTAAATTTTGTTCTAGACATTAAGTGTAGCTTGTCAAACTGAGGTTCTCCTTATCTCCTTAAGAGATAAGAAATTTTGGTTTACAAAATTGATCTGTAGATTATGATGATTTAGCTTGAGGTCTTTCTTTCCACTTGTCTTCCATTTGGAGAGTATTATTTAATTACCCCATAATTAAGAGGTACACTTTCTCCTGTATATTGATTTAAAATGTTTGAATGTCTGTAACACTTCTTTTTTCCCTTTTAAAACACTTTGTATTTAAAAATAATTATAGATTCATATGCAGTTAGAAATAATACTGAGGGATCCCTTGTACCATGCCCGTGGTTTCCCGCTGTAATGACATGTTTTATAACTGTAGAATGACAGGACAACCAGGATGATGATCTCAGATACAGTCCATTGACCCTGTTCAGAT